TATTTATTTTATATTAATAAGCATAGTTTATTGGACAAACTAGAGTAAAAGTCATGTTATTTGTAATACCTCAAGAGGTATAAATAGGCTTGGTTTTAGACCAAGTCAGAATCATGTTCATAACAATCTTTTAATTATTGATCTAATAATTAATACTTCCTAACACATTGTAATAATAATATTATTGTCGCTAATAAAACACATAACATATTTTACCCTAAATAATAATCTCTAATTAATTTAATAAACCATCAAGGGGAAACCTTTGCTGCCCATAACAGTTAACCAGTATCTTAACTATCAAAGTGTTTTTTTTGTTTTCTCTCTCCTCAATATCTTAGCGCTCTGCACCCATATCGTCGTCTTCAAAAATTTTAAATATGCCATCGTTATCATGAAAATCATTATGTACTATATTAATCAGATACCAATTGTCTGCTATTTCTGTAATCAATTGAGAAGAAATAGAATCCTTGTCGTATATTTTTGCCCATTCATTCCAGAGCTCAAAAGCTTCATCCTATAATTATAATTTAAAAAGTTTAGTAATTATTATTACATCAAGATGTGCATGATAAATATTTTTAATAATAGTTACCTTCCAAGCCATAAAGCTTATGGCCTCTACAACCGTTGGTTGAATAATTTCTTTTCCAGAGAACACTCCCCACGTGACCGCATTAGGCCCATCACTTTGTGTGTTAGTTTTCAAATCACCCTTATAAAAGGATTCAATTCAATGATTACAATATTTGAAAAAATTTTATAATAACGATAAATATATAAATACGCACCTGTTTGTTAACTGCATAATATGTGATATTTGGATCCTTTTCAATTCTAAGGATAAGAGAATCAAGATTTGTAGGAGAAACAAAAATTTCCAAATAAGCCTTTTTAATATAATTAAATAGAATTGATTATTATCATTACCACAAATTAATAACGATCATCATTTATATCTAATTTTTTAATGATAGAACAATATATATTATATATAATTACCTTTTGATATACATAACCATTCTTTGGACCCCAGCCAAATATTTTGTCATCACTTCTGGCACCATTAACAGCAGGTTGAGAATTAATGGATAAATATCCCAAAGAATTAATTTTGGCTAAACGATCCTTTATTATATCAGTTTCTTGTGCAAGTGATTGATCAGACCATGGCAGTGAACCGATTTCACCATTACAATATTGAACAAATAATTCATAAATATCGTTCAATATTTGTGGATGTCCCCATAATTCAAATGCCTCTTTTTTCTAATTTATGAAATTTAATTTATGAATTTAATTTTTTTAAAAAAAAAAATTTATATTAAAAAATTAATTGCAAACTTATTTACATACAGAATGTTTGAGCGATATACCATAACCATCAACTTCTCCGAAAGCTTTTTTTTTTATTTAAAATTATATTCAATTTAGTTTTTGAAATTAATAAATGAAATTTTAATTTTATTATTATTATTTTTTTTAAAAAAAAGGAAAAGTATAAATACCCGGTGATCTTGAATCACCCCATCTACCATTAGGATATTCATCCCATGCTTCAGTGCGTGCAATATAACTTCTTGAGCGATTTCTCCAAAAGATTGGACGAACATTCTCATTCTTACGCTTAACCGAAAGAGACTAATAATACAAAATGATTTTATAAAAGATATAATGAAAAAAAAAAAAAAATAAATAAATATATATAATAATGATAAACTTATGAATAAGATAAATCATTTACCGGACACCATGGTAATGGTTTAACTTTTTCTATAGGAGCAATAAATTCAAGAGCTTCCAAAATCAAACGGGTGGATCTTTCCAAATTCATTGTGTAGAAATGATATCCTTTGATATCAGCAGCATACATCTTCTTGATCATTCGGACAACCAATTTGATTCCATATTTTTTTACAGCGTCATCATCATCTTTGATAGGTTCCAAATCATCAAGTATATACTGAGGAACAATAGTTTTACAAAGAGTTATGATTCTATTAAATCCTGAATAGGTCTGAATTGGCAAAAGACCAGGAATTATAGGACAATTGATACCGATGGCACGACATTCTTTAACCCATTCTAAAAAGACATCTACGTCATAAAACACTTGTGTGATGATAAAATCAGCACCAGCGTCCACTTTCTCTTTGAGTCGACGTAAATCATCATCTTTATCAGGATTATCAACATGACCCTCACAATACCCAGCCACACCAATACCAAAATAATCACCATATTGTTCACGGATATAACTAACTAAATCAATTGCATATGAAAAGCCATCTTTTACTGCTTCCCAACGTTCTTGGCCATGAGGTGGGTCACCACGTAAAGCAAGAATATTTTGACATCCGCATTCTTTAGCTTGCTAATTAATATAATTAATATTAAAATATTGACACATGAATAATAATTCTTTATAAAATAAACAGATTGATTGAATATACCTTAAGTGCTATATCTATCTTTTCTTTAGGCATATTTGTACAAGTAAGATGCATCATTGTTTCCAAACCATAAACTGATTGTGCAGTTGCTACAATTTCAGAAGTGAGTTTTGAAGAAGTACCCCCAGCATTCCACGTAACATCAACAAATTCGGGGCCTAAATAATACATTCTTTCCATACGATCATAAAGATTTTGTACCCCCTATCAAATTTAAAAATGAAATGGTAGTAATTATTAGAATGATGGTTATTTTTCTTTCTCTTTGATCGATTTTTCAAATTTTTTAATAAAATTAAGAATTATTTAAATATTTTTTTACTATATAAACTTGATAAGTAAGTTTTGATAGCAAGAAAAAAATTTACTGTTGAGATATATATATAAGTGTATGCTAATTTTTACCTGTTGAGTTTTTGGAGGAAAATACTCAAATGACCAGAATGGTCTATCTTCCTCCATTGCCTTTTGTATTTTATTGATAATTTTCATTTTTTATTTGTAGTTATTTTTTGTAAAAAATAATTGTATATAATAATCTAGTAATCTAAATAATCTAAAATAAATGAATAGATCAAGATTGATTCATTAAAAAAAAGATGCGTCGTATAATTTAAATAATGTTACACCAAGAATACGGTGGATCTTGATTCAAGAATTTTTAAGAATATTAATATGTATTAGTATGTTATCCGAAATTGCTTCTCTTAATATTAATATTAATAATGATGAAACTGAAATGAAATTAATATTTGATTTTACTAGCAGCCAAAATAGAATTGTTTGAACTTTTTGACCAATAATAGCATATTAATTAATATATTAATATAATAGGCCGAAATTTCAAAAAGTTATATATATTAATATGGGGATATGCTTGCAAGTGAACATCGCACTATATACCAAAAGATTTCAGGGATCAAAATTATAGAAGTGTTGGAGGCGGATAAAAAGAATTATCCAAATTCAACGAAGGGGAAGGTAACGAACAAATTGAACAAATTGCGTAAAAAAATACACAAATTATTTTCCATTTATTCCATTCGTTTATTTATTTTTTTGTTTGTTTGAGTGACATATATATTATTGTTTTGAAATGTTACTACTAACCTATGTTTTTTCTTTGTTTTTTTTATGCTCTATCAATGACCCATTGAAATATACACACCCTAGACAAAAGTTTTCGGACACCTGGTTTTTACTGATTGCGCAAAACTACACATAATAACTATACATAAAATTTTATCAAATGTAGTTTAGGTTTTGATAAATATATATGTAAATTTTGGTATTCTTAAAACGTCTAATTAAAAAAAATCCGAAACTCGATGAAAATGATGATGATCAACAAAATATTTATTTGTATTAATAAAGTTTAATATTAATATCGAGTTGGCCATCCACCACTAGAAATGCATGCCTCAATCCTTCTATATATGCTTGTAGTAAGAAGAAAATTAAAAGTAGTTTCAAAAACTTTTCACGTTTTTTGGAAGAAGAAGATAGTTGTTGAGACATTTTAATTTCGTAGAATTTAGAGATTTATTAATTTAAAGAAATCAAAGAAAATGTCGATTATGTAGAATTATTGATAAATACATCCCGCATATTCCGACATATTGCCAAAATACTTATATTATCCTAAAAACGTTTAGGCACCTTGCTGCTTGTTCACGACAATCTTCAGATTTTTTTATTCAAAAGAATCTGCTGAGAGGTCCTCACTATGTTCTCGATATTTTAAGTAATCTAATCAACTCTTTATTCTTGTCAAAATAATCTGGTGCAATAAACATCTTGCCAAAGAACAACAAACTGAATTAACAAATTATATTTCATCTAAATGATTATTATCAATTGATGATCTGCGGGCTACTATTTATTGTTAATACTATCACTTCTATTACTACTACTACTACTATTATTATTCAATGATATATCTCTTGATTCGTTGCCATTGTTATTATTTAATGGTTCACTATTATTGCTTTCTTTATTATTTATTATTGTGCTACGATTATTGTATTTTTTGGGGGGGAGCAAGTGAATGGCAGATTTTTCATTCCAAGTAAGTAATGAAAGAAATTTTTTTTTCATTTCAAGTTACAGTCAAACCTCGACAAGCCGAACCACTATAAACCGATTTTCGCTTTATAACGGTGCAAAAATGGTTAACCAAAAACATAATTGTAAATCATCATAAACCGAATCTTGATAAGCCCATTTTTGTTATTCCCAAAAGTTCGGCTTATTGAGATTTGACTGTATTGTACAAAAAAAAAACATCAGCCGGCTAAGCTGATAAATTTCTTAGCCGAGTAACGTCACTAATTACGAATAGAAACTCTAGCCTGGCTGACATCACTAGTGGAATATTTCCAAGTTTTATAAAAGATTTTTGCCCAACTTCTTACACACCTAGAAAATCAAGGACCTTTATTTAACAATTGAGCAATACATTAATTTTGATCCAATAATTTTGTAATGCTTTAACTTTATATCCATTTGAGGTAATGGATGATGATGGATCATTTAATAATTCATCTATTTTCTCAATTCCACTTCATGTTTTTGATGTTCCACGAGATTGATTTCAACTGCATTACTTTCTTCAATCAAGTCATTGTGGGAATTCATATCATTTTCATTTATCTGAAGATTTTTTTCTGTAGAGAAAAAATTATCTAATGTGCTCCCATTTTTTTCAGCGTCTAATCTACCAATGCTTTTCTTTCTTTGCCTAGTTCTGATAGAATTTCCAAGATAACTAAGCGGTCTTTTAGATCTGGCATAAGATTTCGTATTTTCGGATGGTTTTGATGAAAATTCTGGTGACGATGTTGATGATACTATTGAGTGGTTTGATAATAGTTTTGAAAATGGTAATTCATTATTTGAATTGCTGACTAATTCTCTATTACTGTATTGAATAAAAAAATTGAATTAAATTACAAAAAAGAATATATAACAAATTTAAATCATTTATATGTGTCTCCTCACATTTCATTATCAACCAATTCATTTGCATTATTAATCTCTTTGTTCTTATTTTTAATTACTTCTTGTCTAGATTTAACGGATAATTGTGATATTTTTTTAAGATGCAAACTTCTTTTAGACAATCTACCCATATTTATTAAGAAATAAAAAAAGATATAATTTGCAAAATGTGTCGCGTATTAACTTTCGTGAAACCAAAAAAGATCTATACTGGCAACATTTAAAGGTTGCCGGTTCTTTGACCTAAATTAAGTCATAATCTCGGAAATTTCTTATTACTCCCCTCATTTTGTAAAAGCTATATTCCCATTTCAATATTATTTATTGTGACACAGTGTAGAAACTTGTCGAGATCGACAGATACATAAACCAGTGTGGTATACAAAATCAACGCAAAAAATAAAACAAACTTCTTTTTACTCCAACGTTAATACTGATCAAATCATTATCGCGAAAAAAACGATAAGAAATCATAAACTAAAAAAAAAAAAGAGAATAATAAATTTTTCACGATAGGTAATCATACAAAAAAACGCAAAAGACCAAGGGCGAAAAAAAAAAAGGTGGAAGATATTAACGATAATATGTCGTCACAGCTACCTGAAGGTGACGATGGTAATAATTAGTAACTTTTTAATTTATTGTTGTAATTTAATTTAATTTATTAATTATGATATTATTAATATTAAGTTTTTTCTTAATTAATTGACTTACTATTAAAAAAAAGATGATTATTTTGAACAAATGGCTACGGATGAATATGATGACGGACAAATGATAATAGATGGAGATTCATCATACCAACCTCAATCAGATTTTATAAAAGAAAGCGGTAGAGATAATGAAAGAGGAGGAGGAGGAGGTTATAGAGATAGAGAAAGAGGTAGCGGTGGTGATGAAATAAGTGGTAGTAGAGGTGGTGGAAGTAGTCATTCTCATCATAATAATCGTCAACAAGGTGATGGTAGTGATAATAGTAGTGGCATATATGATGAAAATTTCTTCCCTAGTCCAACACATCCACATCATAATAAAGGTGGTTGGCATCATAAACAACGACAAGGTGATAAATTAGTGGATCAAGAGTTTTTTAATGGTAAAGGATATTATTATTATTACTTTAATTACGTAAATATTCTTATTAAAAAAAATTTTTTTAATGATTAGATTTTCCTGACGATTTCGATGATGAAGATTTAAATTAAATATTAGTTGTTATTGTTAAATAAATATGTGCTACATATAACTTTGTTTTTTTTAAAAAAAAAAAAGGTTTTGCTTTTTAATATCTCAGAAGGATTATTTGGTTTTTCTAATTTTATGATTCAAAAATTAATATTTTATTAAAATTAATAATAATTGTCAAATATAAATTTCTTTTTTACATTTCTGCAATCAATATTTATCATAATTATAGTTATCATCAGATATTAAGTATTGTTAATGTGTCTCGATCCCTACTCAATGTCCAAACTGCAAGTTCTTGATAATTTTGAATGCACTCTAATAACTGATCTTCTGTATAACCTTTTGCCAAAACTCTTTGTTTAATAGTCAAATAATCAATTGATAATCCACCATGATTTTCCAGTACCTCCATCTCTCTCTCTACCCTCTCTACCCTCCCTGCCCCCTCTTCTCCGCCAACCTCACCTTCATCTTCATCATCATCATCATCATCGTCACCACCTGCATAACTTACTAATCGTTCTCTAGCTATTATTGTTTTTATAATTCCGTAAATTATAGAAGTAGGTGATCTATCAAAATTGTCATTGTTTGTGTCTGGATCCTTTAATGATTCTTTAGATACATATATTAACCTCAATGCTTCATCGACATCATCTTGATTAACCTCTTCTCTTAACCCTAGGCGTGCTCGTGCTTGTGCTAATCGAACCATTGCTAGCAAGGTACGAGCACTTGTAAAAGTAAATTCCTTTTTTTTGAAATCACCACCGGCTTGATCTTGACGAAGTCGTTTATATGTATCAACCATATACCAACCAACAGGTGGTGGAATAGTTGGACGACAATTTCTTGCTTCAGCAATATAGTGTCTAAAATTTATAAAATTTTTTTTAAAATTTATTAAAAAAAAAATCATTTAATAACAAATCAGTTAATTTATTACCTAATCATTTGAGCCTCCACTACTTCAGTTTGCATTACTGGATGTTTACCAAATGAATGAACATAAGCAACATGCTGTGCTAATTTAGTATCTTCATCCAGATTTGGTCTATCTAGAATTAAAAACATAACATCAAATCTTGACAAAAGAGCTGCTGGTAAATTGATGTTATGAGCGGGTGAAACCCTAGGATTGTAACGACCATAAAGTGGATTTGCAGCTGCTAAAATTGATGTACGTGCATTCAAGGTTGTTGTGATGCCAGCTTTACTTATGCTAATCGTTTGTTGTTCCATAACTTCATGTATGGCTGTTCGATCAGTGTCATCCATCTTATCAAATTCATCAATACAACAAATACCATTGTCAGCAAGCACCAGAGCACCACCCTCTTTATAATAAAATATAAATAAATTAGTAATTAATTGGTAAATTATTAAAATTAAATGGAACACGATTTAATCAATTAAATACCAAGAATCATTTCATCAGTTGTTGGATCCCGATTAATTGATGCAGTCAAACCAACACCAGAACTACCACGACCAGTTGTATATACACCTCTTGGAGCAACTTTACATATATATTTAAGTAATTGAGACTTTGCAACGCCGGGATCACCCATCAAGCATATATTCAGGTCACCACGAATTTTCATTCCATCACTCGTATTTTTAGTAACACCGCCAATAAGTAACAACAATAAAGCTTTCTTCACATCACCATGACCATAAATTTCAGGCGCAATACTACTTGATAATTTTTCATAAATTAAAGGATCTCCACGTAATCCCATTAATTTTTCTTCAACTTCTGGTGTTTTTTCCATTTTATCGTATTGTTTTTTAAGTTGATTAACGTATTGACCTTCTAGATAGACATCAGTCAAAAGACTAGTACTGCCTTTGTATCCTTTATGTGGTGTCGCTTGAAATATTCCTGAAACATTTACCACATCACCGGGATTCATTGAACGCGTCACTTCTCCATATAATAATATAGTCATTGTACGGGGGATATGACCAACAGGTACTTGTTCAGTCTGACACAATATATAATCATAATAATAATCATAATGGTTAAATTTTCTTATTAAAAAAAAAATACATAAAATTATTTATGTGTAATTGATTAATTACCATTTCTTGCATTTTTACCTCTTGAAAAGGTAAAAATTTACAAGATTTAGTCTGCATTAACAATCTCCCCCTTATTCTATTCTTTTTGCATTTTTCCGTTGGACAGTCAACAAGTGGAGTATAAGCTTTTTTTGTTACTTCTTGAAATACTTCATTGCCACACATTTCACATGAATAACCAGCAACCAACAAAAATGGCTTGACATCATTGACACGAATGATCATACCCTGAACTGTCACCAGATGACCAACATATTTACCACTCACTTCACGAATTGCTAAAGGTGTTTCAGTTGACAAGGGTTTGAAATAAAGTGCACTAATTATATATTTTATTGTTAGGACAATCGATATTATAAAAAAACAATTAAATATATAAATCAATATAATATTAAAAAATAACTAACTATCTTCTTGTTAAAGAGGGAGGATAAATTGTACGATCTTCAGGTAAATTTTGTTCATCTTTATCTCTTCTGTGTTGCATAATAACATCTATTACATCACTTTCATAATCTATTTCTTTTGTAGGAGCTGGTAACAATTTATCAATCTCATCTTGAAATATATCATGATATCTTCTTATATTTGTTTGAATTCTTTCGAGTAAACTGTCTTCAAGTTGATCTTCCCACTAATAAATAATAAATGAATAAATTATTTGATTGATTGATTGATTGATTGATTGATTGATTGATTGATTGATTTAAAATTCTGAATTTTGAATCAATGATAATAATAATTTATTTACCGTGGCAAAATCATCAAGTTCAATCGTTATAGACTTTTTTTCTCTATTTGCTATTAATTGCTATTTTATCAAATGAAAAAAATTATTTTAATTGATGAATCTAACGATTGTATAATTAGATATTAAGTGATTAAAAAAAAAATTATATATACCAGTTGTTCTTTATATTTACATGGATTTGGGCTTATATCAACACCATCAACATCCATAAAACTACTATTATCTTGTGATTCGCTATTTGGTCGAAATTCTGCTAAAAATTTAGCGATACTCACTAAAGGAAAAGAAAATAATACTTGGTAAATCTTTTTTCATTAACGCGTCTACCTAATAAATTTTTTTAGCAAAGATAAATTCAAAAATAGAAGAGAGACTTGCATGCATCATGTTTATAGTTTAAAGGTAATTTAGTAATAAAAGTAGCCATATTTATATCGTTTTTATTGTTTTTTATTCTTTAATTCAAAGAAAAATTTTTTCGCGTCGTTCCACCAAAATCATACCCACTACTACTACTGATCATCATGGCCAGATCGCCATTGTTACAGATTCAACAACATGTCATTATTTTTAGTTGAATAAATTCTCTATAAATTAAAACCTAACTTCTTTATATTGTTACCTTTTTGACAAAGAGGGCAACAGCAGTAGCAACAACAAATCTTTATACTTTTCTAATCATAATAAGCCACCAAATACGACAAATTAAATCAAAAAAATAGTTCTTTTAGTGCAAAAATACGCACTTAAACATCATTTGAGATTCAAGTATTAAAATTTTATAATCTAATCTTTTGTTCAGAAAAAAGGTCAATCAGACCTCCGATCCCCGAGGAGTATAATGCTAGTGGTAATGATAATAACGATATGATGGATGGAAGGAATAGAGTATGATGATAATATTTATGTAACGAACGTAATTAGTACTAGAGACGAAAATATTGCCAAGATAATTGATGGATATGCCGATAAAGAAAATGTTGAGGAGAAAAATGCTGTAATAGTTTCATCGTATCCATGTGAAAATTGTATTTTCTTCTATAGAAGCAAAGTCGCATTCTTAATTTACATTTACATTTACATTTATATTTATATTTATTGCATTGATAATGTTTCCTATCTATTAATTTAAAAAACAATGATACTGTAAGCATTACCACAATATCTCATGTTTAATTGATTGTGAACACGGATAAAGAGAATTTAATCCTGTATTGTTTATTAACAACATTTTACAATAGCAATAACTAAAATATAAATACCAACAAAAGACAACAAAATTTGTGTGTACTCTTGAATTGACCGTCGAAAAATGTGATGATAAAATAGTGTTACAAGCAAATTTATTACTACAGATAAAATAAAGTGCAATTTGTGAGATTATTAAATACAGTCGAACCCTCGTTTCAACGGATTTTTGGTTTTACCCCTTGATTTTATTAATATTAATATTAACAGTCAGTGTGCAAATCCTTTCTCTTTTTTTTAATTAGTGCGTGTAACATTCGCTTGAATGCCAAAAATTTCTTTTAACATTTATAACACATAAACTTCTTAATAGATTAAAAAAATGATATATATAAAA